TGCCTAGGCTTGCCTCAGAAATCAATAAGAGATCTGGGGGCTGCCTTCCTTTCCTGTCTTCTGTCTCTGGCCACTGTGGTATCTTTCCTGTGTGGCTCTGTGTGATACACCATGCCTGTCTCTTAAGACCTGTGAATATGCTAAACTTTGTTTCTCTGAGCCTCTTCTGTGGCTACATTGGATTAGCCATCTCACAACAGAATGCTAACAGCAGGAAGAGTTAATCTGTACAAGGTAAGTCCAACAGTACCTGAGGTATGGCTTCATATATTAACTACTGCCCCAGTGCTGGGGATACTGCTCTATTCCACAGCCTGAATACTCCACATTCTGACACCAGGCAGGTTGGAACAGTTATTGTGGGAAACTAGAGAACCAGATTGCTTATAAAAAGACAAAAAACACAGGTCTTGAGAGATGACTCAGATTTTAAGAGTACATATTGCTCTTGCAGAGAGCCCAAGTCTGGTTCCTAGCACCCACATTAGGTAGCTCACAACTGCCTGTAATTCCAGCTCCAGGTGATCCAATATCTTTGGCCTCCCTGGGCACCTGCATTTATGTGCACACACCTACATACATACACATAACTAAAAATAAAAATAAAGCTGGACATAGTGGGCCATGCCTTTAATCCAATCCTAGCACTTGGGGGGCAGAAGTAGGTGGATCTTCTCTGTGAGACTGAGCCCACCCTGGTCTATGTAGCAAGTTCCAGGCCAGCATGCACTACAGGCAGACCCTGCCCCACTTAAAAAGTAATAGACAAAAATAGTTGAAGTGCAGGGCCAGAGAGACAGCTCAGCAGTTAAGAGCACTGACTGCTCTTGCAGAGAGGACCTGGGTTCAATTCCCAGCACCCACATGGTGGCTAACAACCATACATAACTCAAGTTCCAAGGGATCTGACACCTTCTTCTGACTTCCGTGGGCATTGCATGACATGGGTGCCCTTACATACATGCAGGCAATACACTCATACACAAAAGTAAAAATAATAAACAAGGCCAGATGTGGTGGCGCATGCCTTTAATCCCAGCACTTGGGAGGCAGGTGGACCTTTGTGAGTTCAAGGCCAGCCTGGTCTACATAGTGAGTTCCAGGAGAGCTGGGACTACAAGGAGACCCTGTCTCAAAAAAGACAAAAAAAAAAAGTTGAAGCACAGCTTCTGGTCATGTGTCGGTGACAGACACCTAACTACATAATGAAGCAACATAAATGCAGCTTGCACATCATGGAATGTTTTCTTTTTATAGATTCTTATTAATAATTCTTCATTGACAACCTTTTTTTTTTTTAAAAAAAAAAGTATAGTGATATGTGGCATCTAAGTGACACACAAAACACAAGGGGAAAATGTCAGTACTACCAACACCTGGTGCTCAGAGAACAGAGTCCAGAAGTGAGGAGAATTGATCTAATTTTGTAACTGCTTGGCTGGCATAAAAATATCAAAAGTTGGGGCTGGAGAGATGGCTCAGCGGTTAAGAGTACTGGCTGCTCTTGCAGAGGATCCACGTTTGATTCCCAGCACCCACATGGCCACTAACAACCATTCATAATTCCAGTTCCAAAGGGTCTGATGCCTTCTTTTGACTCTATGGGCATTGAATGACATGGGTGCACTTAGACAAGCAGGCAATACACTCATACACATAAAAAATAAAATATTGCCAGGCGTGGTGGCACACGCTTTTAATCCCAGCACTCTGGAGGCAGAGGCAGGCAGATCTCTGTGAGTTCAAGGCCAGCCTGGTCTACATAGTGAGTTCCAGGGCAGCTGGGGCTACAGGGAGACCCTCTCTCAAAAAAAAAAATTAAAAAAAATTAAAAGTCTTACCAAAAATATACTTCATGGAGCTGGAGTAGGCCAAGAAGCAGAGCTCTCTCCTACTGCAGGACAAACCAGGGTGGGAGAGCTGGGTCTCCAGATGGTCTGCCAACAGTACAGCAGCACATGGGAAAGTGGGGCAAAGAAAGGCAGAAAGGAGGCTCAGGGCAGAGGGAACCTATGACACTCCCAGTGCTTGAACGAGTCCCACTTCTTCCTCTCTTAAAGGCATTCAGTTCAGGACCATTTTGTACCAAGACTCTGAGGCTCAGGCACTGGAGGAGGAGCTCACTGTGGTCCAGATAAGGGACTGGGAAAATGGACATGAACAAGTTCAGCACTTTCTCTTACAAGTATAGCCGGGATACCAGGAGATAGCATCATGGGTGTTAGGGACCATCTCTTTGCACTGTGGAGGATGGAGTAGAGGAGGGTGAGTGGGATGTGGAGAAAGAGAAACTGAAGACCAGACAAGGACAGCTGGCAAACTATAACCTTGAAACATCCCAAATACTGGTCCTTATGCCATGGTCAGGTGGTCAGGCCTAGGTGGTCAATGAGTAAGACCAGGAAAGAGAAGGGTGGGACGGATTGTTCTTCCTAGCGCTTTCCTCATGCCTTGAGAATGACTGTCGGGGGGCAGGGGTGAAGAAAAGCCCTTCTCAATAATTGCTGGAATCTTGTCTAATACCAGGCAGATCAGCTGGCAAGAGACACTACAGGGGACACACTTATCTCAGTCTCAAAAACGTACATTAGGAGTCAACAGTGATGCTGAGGCAAATGCCACGCAGACCATCAAATGCCTTTAGATTAGAAAAGTAGAGAACAGTACTCAGGCGACAACTCCCTAGCAGTCACACAACTCACTGCTAACCATCCTGTAGAACATAATAAAGCAACTGCCCAGCCAAGCACAATTACAGTATATTCAAGTTGGCCTGTGCATGTCTGGTAGACCATTTACCGCTTTTCAGCCTCCCCAGGAAGGGAAGAGTGAACAGGCAATGCCAGAGGTCTAACTCTGACCTCGAGCTGAGAGAGATGGGGAACAAGACTGCAGCCCAGGCTGTCACTGAGCTAAAAGGATGCTCTACCCTAATGGCAAGCTTTGGCCCCAATGCAGCCCTTGCCCTGTGGCACTGTCACACTTACTTTAAAAAAAAAAAAAAAAATGAACAGCAAACTCAGAAATGTAGTTCTCAAGCTGGGTGCTTGGGGGGTAGGAGGATTGCCAGGAGTTTGAGGCCCGGGGCTTTGTAGGAAGTTTTGGGCTATCCTTGCCTACAGAGACCTTATCTCTAAATAAACCAAAACAACCACAAAAAGAATGCAACTGTCAGGGACTTGTGGAAAAGGGAAGCGTGGGTGTGTAAGGACCTGATGGATCACTTGGATTGTGCTGAAGGCAGACACTAGTAACAGGCAGTACAGTGCTGCAGGTTTACTGTGAAACCTGGAGCTTCTGATAAATGGGCACGCAGCCAAGGCAGTGCCAAGTAACCTCTTGAAACACCGCTTTTCATGCAGGAGAGGATATATGAGTCCTTGGTCACTTAATATGAGAGACCTGCTCACACAGGTGGGCTTTATTTGCTGAAAGCTGAATGTAGAAAAATGGGTTTCGAAGGTCCCCAAAACTTCCAGGTCTCTGTACCAACCTAGAGTTGGACACAATATAGAATATTCTCTTTAACTTGGTGCAGAAGTGCATCACTTCAAGGGAAAGGTGGCCCAACTTCACAGATAGCACCTCCACAAACTAGGAACCAGGACCTTCCCTCCTACAATGAGTTTATTTGTTCTTCATCTTCATTGTGAGGTACACTCCAGTTTGCAATAGTAAAGGCTCTTCCATTCCTTATGGCATGGAAGAGAATGTTCCCAGAGGTTGTGTATATGAAGATGTGTGGGTACAATTGTGTATCTGTGATTTCTACCAAAAAACATGGCAGGATTAATGACAGTGAAAGACCTGCCTGAAGAACTAGCCTGTTACACAGCCTTCTGGGCCTATACACTGCCCTGGCCAATGAACGTCAGAGTTGCTACTGTCTATATGTCAGAACCTGTGGAATTGCTCAGCATGCTGCTCACCACTATCAGAGCAGCAGAGTTAAAGGCCCCAATGAATGAGAGGGAAAGAACTTTCAAATGTATTAGCATAAATTCAAAGCTCACTGACTTTCTAGGAACACAAAATTAACACCTTCAGAAACCGGGACAAAAGGTGGGGAAGGACCAGAATGCAGCAGTTCAGTAATGTGGGGGTGGAATTGAAGCAGATACACTTCAATGCAGTAGCTATGAGCAATGTCCAGGGAACAGGAATGGGTCAGAGCATCTGAGAACCGGCCTTGGGGGCCTCATCTCACATCAGTTATACACAGGGAAGTGGCAAGTCACAGAAAAGTTGGTGGCCAGCAATACCAACCACAATTGGATGGCTGGGATCATCCCACTGAAAGCTGTGCAAGCCCCTGACTCCAGTGTGCAGTATAACTCAATTTGACATGGCATGGCTAGAGGGTAGTGGCTACCCAGACAGTGCCCCTACTTAGGTACCATACCAAGGCCATAGTTAGCTAGAACTGGGTAGCTCAAGAATTTTAATCAATCTTTGCCCCCAGAGCGAGGCCTTGAGTTCTGAAAGCTGGATTTGGGTGCAACATCTAGAATCTGACTCACCACTGATTTTGTGGTTCTGATTCACACTGTGTGAGGTCCAGGGTGGTCATACAGGACATGATAATAATAGTTGAAGCTAAGTCATAAGAGTATTATACTATTCAATTCAACTTTTCCAGGAGAATACAGTAAGAAGCAAATGGGGAAATAGAGCTGGGAGCTTTTAAAACAGAAGCAGAAGCAGGGGAAACATAATTTTAAATGATTCCTAGCTCACACACAGGTGAATGACTGCATTGTCTTTACATTCAGTCAGGGGTGTGAACGAGGAGAGAAGAGGGATTCCACTAAAGGAGGCAACTTTCTTATACAGGAAAAGCTAGCAGAATGAAATGCATGTAGACCGTTGTCTTTTTTGTTACTTTGCTTCTCAAATTTTTTTTTTTTTTTTTTTTTTTTTTTTTTGGTCTTTTTGAGACAGGGTCTCCCTGTAGTCCCAGCTGACCTGGAACTTGCTATGTAGACCAGGCTGGCCTCAAACTCACAGAGATCTGCCTGCCTCTGCCTCCCAAGTGCTGGGATTAAAGGTGTGCACCACCACACCTTGCTCAACTCTAATTTTTACAATTATCTAAAAAATTGTAAATGTGATAAACCAATTTATATTGTTAAAGGTGCTTCATTTTGATTCTAATACTTGTTGACTCAAGTCATACAATAAAAAAGTACTTCTATTCAGCTAAGGCAGTACTAAAGAGTGAGGCATGTTTGCCATTCTTAAACTTTCAAAACCAATATTGTGAAGCTTGGTTCTCAGTAAATACAACTATCCTGATAGAAGACTTCATTGTGACTATGTATTCTTTTATATTCAATAATCAATTTCCTCATTCCCACAGTTCTTCCATATAAACTGCATTCATATCATTTTTCTCCAATATGATGCCTCTGATGCTGAATGAGGTTTGCAGTCTGGTTGAACGCTTTCCCACATTTGTTGCATTTATAAGGCTTCTCTCCTGTGTGAATCCTTTGATGTTGAGTGAGGTGTGTGCTTCTGATAAAGGCTTTCCCACAGACCTTACATGTGTAAGGTTTTTCTCTTGTATGAATTCTCTTATGTTGGGTAAGAGCCGAGTGGTCACTGAAGGCTTTCTCACATATATTACACGTGTAAGGTTTTTCCCCAGTATGAATTCTCTGATGTTGTGCTAGGGCTGACTGGTCCCTAAAGGCTTTCTCACACAAACCACATCTGTAAGGCTTCTCTCCAGTGTGAATTTTCCGATGTCGTGCAAAGGATGAATTATCCCTGAATGCTTTGCCACATTCGCTACATTTATAAGGTTTCTCTCCAGTGTGAATTCTCTGGTGTTCAGTAAGGGAAGAATTCACCCTGAAGGCCTTTCCACATTCATTACATTCAAAGGGTTTCTCTCCAGTGTGAATTCTCTGATGCTGAAGAAAACTCGTACTCTGATTGAAGGCTTTCCCACATTCATTGCATTTATATGGCTTCTCACCACTATGAATGTTCTGATGTTTAGTGAGATGCGCCCTGCAAACAAAGGCTTTGTCACAAATGTTACACTGGAAAGGTTTCTCTCCTGTATGTATTCTGTGATGGTGGGAAAGATGTATGTTCCGGATAAAGGCTTTTCCACATAAGTTGCATTCAAAAGGCTTCTCTCCAGTATGGATTTTCTGATGGTAGGTAAGTGACGAGCTCACTGAGAAGGCCTTGCCACAGTCCTTACATTCATATGGTTTCTCACCAGTATGAATTCTTTGGTGATGGATAAGGTGTGTACTCTGGTGAAAGGCTTTCCCACATTCTCTACATTCGTAGCGCTTCTCTTTAATATGTGTTTTCTGACTTGTGCTAAGTTTTTCAGTATGAATTTTCTGATGTTTCTTCAGGGTGGAATTCTTAGAGAAGGTTTTTCCACACTCACTACATTTGAAAGCTTTTTTGCTTGGTTGAGATCTCTGACTTTGAACAGGTAATGAGTTCACAGAGCAGCCCTTCCAAGACTCCTGCTCACTAACTTCCAATGGGGTGCTCCGCTGGGTGAGGGCAACTTGCTGTAACTTGAGCTGCTGACCTTCCTGGCATTGCCAATTCAACCGGTTATCATGCTCCCAATGACTCTCCTTGGCAAGTGTTTCCTTCACTGTGCATTGATCTGGTTCTTCTTCAGATTCCCTACTCATGGCCATGGTCATCCCTTCTGAAAGATATTAAACACAAAAATGCCTGTTTCACTCCAGTGAAACATTTTGAAGGAATGAGATTATGAATCTATGGTGGCAATGCTAACAGATTGCAAGTGAAGACTTCTCAAAGTGATAATATGCAGAGAAAGACCATCAGAAGTAAACAAGGACCATGGTCGGGGTTCATCTAATGTTCTATATAAGGCAGGGAGGCTTGCAAGCTTGCTTTCTGAGGTCCTGGGTCTGGGCTGGAATCCTGAGAACAATACTTCTTTTCTTTGTGTTTAAATAGCAGTTATCTAATTTTTGAAGCTCAAAAATATCTTAATACAGGCCAGGCTTCGTGGTACACACCAATAAGCCCATCACTTCATAGGCTGAGGTAGGAGGACAGTTGTAAGTTTGAGGCTAACTTGGGTTACAAAGTGAGATTCTGTTGCAAAAAAGTAAATAAAAAATGAAAAAGGAGGGGAGGAATCTCTAATATAGACCATACTATGCTAACAAATGTGGGGGGGTCCTCACATACTGACATGTCTTGATGACAGCCCCAATGTGGCCTAAACAGAACCCTGAATCCAGAGGTCAGCACATGGCAGGATTTAAAAAAAAAAAAAAAAAGCCAAGACTGCTATCAATGTGTTTGTGTTTTATAGACTCACTTGAGTATTTAGACAGATAATTGGAAGCTTCACTGCTGCCTGGGCTGGTGAGTCCACGTATATACCAATAATGAAACAGGGATGTTCAAGTGACATTAGCAACACCGGCAAGCCTGGTAATGGGACAGCTACCTGAGGAAAACAGACCACATTGACACAGAAGCAAGAGCAGAAACCGAGGAACACAACAATACACCCGCAAGGCAGCATCCTGGATATCTAGTATGTCTTGGAAGGAGAATCTGAATCTGGGGGAAGGAGTGCACTGGTCACTTAACAAACAGGATTCTTATTGGAAAAAGAGACGCAGCCCAATAAAAATAATCCCTTGCTGCAGACAACAATTCCACACTCACTCAACAACTTTCTCACTTGGGCTCATGAGTATCTTGGTATTATTAAGAAGAATTTGTGATTGCATGCCATTTCCCATACACATTTGTAAATATATACCTTCTAATTTAAGTCTACTTAAGTCTTTGAACTAAGAAAGGTTAATGTGGAGGATTGGATACTAAACATGGATGGTATAGATCTCTGGAAATCCTACCAAGAACAAGCTTTCCTCTTCCTTTCCTTTTCCCAGAAAGTTTTCCACAAAGAATTAAAAATAAAATGCCTTTAACTATCTAGAAAAGAAAGGAAAACAGGTATACTATAAGGCTTAAATCCTGAGCTCAGAAGAATATGACCTTATTCTAAACAAAGAGAGTTGAGGTTAAAAGCCACTATTATCATCCCTTGGAGATAAATCATCCTTGTAGGAGACTGGTTCTAAAATTCCCCACGATAACAAAATCCATAGATGCTTGTCATTTGTATAAAAAGATATAGCATTTACATATAACCTACATACATCCTCTTATGTTCTTTAGATAACCCCTAGGTTATTTACAATATCAAATACACTACTGCATATATTACTCTGAAAACAGTGAGGAGAAATTTCTATGTTTTCAGGTAAGAAGCAATCATCATCTCCTAACTACATAGCACACAATTCATGGTTGGTTGACTCCACAGATGCAAGATCCTGCAAATCCAGAATTCTGCCTATGTTTCCAAACTGCAGAAACATCAAAGATTCACATTCACAGTTGGATAATATATAGTGACCTATGGCAGAAAATATTTCTGCAGAAAATTAGAAAATCTGAATTGAGAAAACATGTGAAATCATGCCACCCCAGGCAGACTTGATAGTCTAGTATTTTGGGAGAGAAGGGAAACGTAGAGTGGCGAATACCAATACTTAGTTATCTTTTTCTCAAAGAATTTGATGATACATTAAGCTTCCCAGGGCAAAAGATAAAAGTTTGGCAGAAATCTAGAATCTTCTATAGTCACTTGGTACTATAGAGCCAAAAATTAGTTTAGGGCCTGCCAAGAACTAGGGTCATAGCCAGCATTTGAAGTTCTTCGTTGGAACCTTAGCTGAGCTATAACTTCACAGTGAGGGCAAATAAGAGGTTGACAAACTATACACATTGTGAGCCAGCCTCCAGCTGTGACTGTCACTGGTGAGGTCAAGATGGTTTGTATATTAGCTACTTCCAAGGGGCAGGGCACATGTTCTCCCAAAGTAACAGCATCCAGAGCTGCCTTCCTTCACCTATAGTGTCGGAGGAAAAAACAAAACAAAATAAAACCAAGCAGTTCTAAGAAACTAAATGAGGAGTGAAAACAGACAGTAGAAAATGAACCACAGAACTTACATGTCAGAGTCCCAACATGGACTTACAAGGAACTGTGACAAATACACATGAGAAGAGCAGCTAAGAATGAGCAATTTCACAGAGAGCTGCAAAACAAGAATTGGAGGAAATCCCAGCACTGAAAACAGTCACTGAAACCAGGAACTGAGTACACAGACTGAAGAGCACAACGAACACAGCAGAAGAATCCCTGCCTAGAAAATGCACAGCAGAAAGGACCCCATGCTGTGGTCTGGATGTGTCCCCCAAAGTTTACCAGTTAGACATCTAACCCCCAATTCATATGCAGATGGAATTTTAAGTGAGATCTTTGGAGGTAATTTGGGGGAGACGAGGTCATGAGGGTGGGGTTTTATAGAACACAAAGGAGAGCCACGTCAGCACACCTTTTCTGTCTTACCATGCAATTCCTTTTGCAAGATCACCAGATGCTGAGCAGATGCTGACACTGACCCTTGGGCTTCCCAGCCTCTAGAACCGTGAGACAAACTTCTGTCAATGATCTACTCTGGTATTTAGTTATTGCAGAAGAAAATGGACCATGATACCATGGTAAAAGACGGGGAAAAAAGTGAAAAAAAGAAACAAACAAAACACAGAGGAAATGGTAAAATGACTGAACATACGTGGGACTGAAGTTGTGAGGTAAAGAACAGAATGAACACTATTTGAAAGCATTAGGCTGAAAATGGAAATCTGAGGTGCTCAGGATAAATATAATGGAAGTCCATGGGGGGTAGGGGAATAAGAGGAGAATGGGCAGTCAACATGATCAGTGTGTGTGTGTGTGTGTGTGTGTGTGTGTGTGTGTGTGTGAAATTGTCAAAGAATAAAAAAATGGAAAAAGAAAAGAAAATCCACCTATGGACATCCGAGCAAAACCACTGAAAAATCAAAGATCCTCCTAAAAGCTGAGAAGACAAGTTTCATTACCCGTCAGGGAGCGAAAAGAAAGACTCAGTCTTCTTAAGGAAAACAATGGAACCCAGAAGGCAACAAAATAACACCTGGAAGCTGAAAGAAGCCAACTGCCAAATTAAAAAGATAAATACAGTATCAATAGACTGTGAACAGAAGAAACATCTGCAAAAGGTAAATATGAAATACACACACACACACACACACACACACACACACACATAAGAGATGAGAGAGAGAGATAGAGAGCAAGAGAGTCAAAGTGAGAGAGAGAGAGAAAACAACAGACCTGCATTAAAAGAAAAGCAACAATGTTCTAGACAGATGATAAAAATTCTACCTGGAAATACAGAAATGTAAGGAATAAAAAGTAATGGAAAGAGTAAATCTTTGGACAATAAAAATTGATCCTACAAAATAATAATTACAATGTCTTGAGATTTGTAGAATTAAAATATCTCGCAAAAATACATAGCAAAAAAAAACAACACAAAAGGCAGAAGGGAAGGCGTAAACGCTCTAAGGTCCTGGTGCCCAGGGTCTCCTGGGTCCCAGGCTGGCCTCACACTCACTGTGTAGCTGAGTGTGAGCCTGAATGGCTGATCCTTCTGCCTCCACCCCGAGTGCTGGGATTACAGGTGTTTGCCACCAGGCTGGTTTATGCAGTGCTGGGAGTGACCCAGGGCTTAATGCATGTTGGGCAGGCTCTCACTAACTATGTCCCCTAGTCTTGTATGGGAATTATCAAAAGTAAAGATTTATTTTGGGTGGTAAAAAGCTAGTTTAAATATTATCTTAGCAGTAAAAGACTAAAGAAGGTACATTAACAAATAATGCAGGATGAAACTGGAATAATAACAATTAGGGGCTGGAGAGACAGTCAGCAGTTAGGAGTACTTGCTGCTCTTCTAGAGGACCTGAGTTCAGTTCTCAATACCCATGTCAGAGATAAGGTGTGGTGGCGCACACCTTTAAACCCAGGACTTGGGAGGCACAGGCAGGGGAATCTGTGAGTTTGTGGTCACCCTGATCTAGATAGTGAGTCTCATGTCAGCCAGGGCTACACAGTAAGACCTTTTCTCAAAAAAAAAAGTGGAATTCCCAATACCCATGTCAGGTGACTCACAACCACTTGAACCTCCAGCTCCAGAATCCAATACTGTCTTCTGGTTTTTACCGCACCCACACACATGTGGCATACACATTCACAGACACATAAATTAAAAAAAAAAAAAAAGTTTAATCCAAAAGGGAGGGAAAAGAAGGAAATTAAAGCAAGTGAGTAAAACAATGAAACCCCACACATTAGTCACTAAATAAAAGACAAATGTCACTTAGAAAATACGAAAATCTGAAATATTAAAAAGAATGAAAGCAAAACAAAAAATATAAAAGAATAAAAAGAGAAAAATCATGTAAAAGAAAGGTGGTGCATTTGTACCAGTATCATGGGAATCATGCACTATTAAAGAAAATAGACTTGGGCAGGGCGTGGTAACACACGCCTTTAGTCCTAGCACTCAGGAGGCAGGCGGATCTCTGTGAGTTCAAAGCCAGCCTGGTCTACATAGTGAGCTCCAGAACAGTTGGGGGCTACAGGGAGACCCTGACTCAAAAGACCAAAAATTAATTAATTAATTAAAAAAGAAAATAGACTTTAAGGTTTTCATATTGTCAAAAGGGTCAGTTCTCAGGCACTTAATGTAACAATCTCCACTT